TCTCTGGATATAACTTTACTGCATGGTACGTGCATGATTTGCCTCTAAGCGTGCATTCCGAGTGTGGTCTCTCTATTGGACCTTAGCATAATTTTTCAGTCAGATAGATTTTTAAAAAAATATAGATTTTTAAAAAAGTATGATTCGTTGTCACCAAAATTTTGACCTGGCTAGGATAGCTACCATGACCCTCTTCATAAGCTTCGTGAAGAGAATAATAATAATAATAAATTCATGTCTGAACGAAATTTATATATTTATTTTCTGACTACGACTGTTGTTATGTCATAATGTTTTTTTTCTTTTTTTTATTCATCATGGTCATCATATATATATATATATATATATTTTGTTGCATGTATGTATATGTGTATAGATTTATGTAAGGCACCTCTGGATGTGTGTGTGCGCGAGTATGTGGGTACATATTTCTGTCTATACATGCGTCAGCCATGTGCACAGTTCATGACTGCACATGCTTTTTATTATTTTTATATTTGCCTCACATCGACTCTATCTTTATCCCTCTATGTCTATCTTGTCACATTCTCTATTATTTCTGTACGCATCTACATACATTCTTCTCTCTCTCTCTGTCCATCTGTCTCTCTGTCTATCTGTCTATATATCTATCTGTCTCTCAGTCTATTAATCTGTCTATCTAATTTATTAATCTTCCCTGCCTTCTCTCTCTCTCTCTTTGTCTTATTTTCTGTCTTCCTGCCTTCTCTCTTGTTTTCCCTTTCCATCTGCTTCATACTTCTTAACCTCTCTCACTCCTTCTCTCCGTCTTATTCTCCTCTTTTCCTCTTTCACACATCTCCCTCTTCCCACCGTCTCTCTCACTCTCCCTTCCCCTCTTCCACACACCTTCTCATCCTCCCCCTCTCCTTCGCCAGGCTTCTCGCGCCCCCAGGATGCTGGCGGTCCTCCTGGTGCTCCTCGCGGGGACGGCCTCCGGCATCAAGTTCAAAGGCTTCGGCGGCGGCGGCAAGAAGGGCGGCGGCGGCTACGGCGGCGGCAGGACCGTCTACCTGATTCCCGTCCAGATCCCGCTCTACCAGCCCTACAGCGGCCACGGCGTCGGAGGCAGTTACGGCGGAGGCGGATTCGGAGGCGGCCACGGAGGCGGTTTTGGCGGTGGAGGATTCGGAGGCGGTGGGTATGGAGGAGGCGGATTTGGCGGTGGGCACGGAGGCGGATTTGGCGGTGGGCACGGAGGCGGATTTGGCGGTGGGCACGGAGGCGGATTTGGCGGAGGAGGATTCGGAGGAGGTGGCTTAGGAGGAGGAGGATATGGAGGAGGGGGATTCGGCGGCGGCCATGGAGGAGGAATCGGAGGAGGTGGATTCGGAGGCGGCCATGGAGGAGGAGGAGGAGGATATGGAGGAGGTGGCCATGGAGGTGGCCACGGAGGACTAATCGGAGGAGGTGGCCATGGAGGACTAATCGGAGGAGGTGGCCATGGAGGAGGAGGATATGGAGGAGGTGGCCACGGAGGAGTGATCGGAGGAGGTGGCCATGGGGGTGGCCACGGAGACAGCGGTATATTTATCGATGGAGGCGGAATCGGAGGCGGCCATGGAGGAGGCTATGGAGGAGGTGGCCACGGAGGCGCTGGTGGATTCGTGGATGGAGGCGGCCACGGAGGAGGATTCGGAGGCGGCCACGGAGGAGGCGGCTTCATCGACGACCACGGGGCTGGCGCTGGAGGCGGATACGGAGGCGGAATCGGAGGCGGCCACGGAGGAGGATTCGGGGGCGGCGGGCACGGCGGCGGCTTCGCGACCGGATTCTCGAATGGCGGAGGTAAGCCGCCGCGGGTTCTGTCCTTCTTGAATGGAGGGAACCACGCGCGCACTCAAACGAACAGTATGCAGTCTCAGTCCCTATATTTCAGTCCGGGCTAAGACTAAGATATTGTATATTCCTTGATTAATTCTGTTTGAGAAAGAGAAGAAATATTCTGCAAAAAGCAGTAGCAATTCTCCATACTACCAGCAGTGTTCAGGAAAAACGACTTTTTATTATTGGTCAAAGACACAGTATATACACTACTCCAAGGGGTGCGTTCAAACCATATAAAATATGTCATAAACTCAAAAGGAAGACCTGTTTGCAGACATGCCCAAGTGGATTGTAAACAAGTCGACGGACCCGGGAGGAGGTTCGGTCACTGGCAAACAATCATTCCTTTGTTTTCAGTGTTTGTAACGCGTGTGCGTTATGGTCCCCGTCATTTTGTGCTGTATTACCTTAAGAATACAGACCTCCTGGGTTACTAATAACAGCGCCCTGCAAAGTAAAAAAAAAAAATCGCTGAAGTTTACAACGCTTCATTCACTGTCCGAATCTAAACGATGCAAGGCATCTGTCTTTTCAGTGGGGACTGGTTTAGTCTGGCGATGGCACTAGTGTCCCCACATGTGTTTGTGCTGCACGCACACGCACACGCACACGTACACGCACACGCACACGCACACGCACACGCACACGCACA